CTCATCGATTTAGTATTTCTCGAGGCATAAAACAGGGAGACCCGGCGGCTCCCTTTTTATTTCTTTTAGTTATGCAAACGATGGCTTTACATTTGCATAATGATTCTTTTCAAGGCATCAGAATTGGGGACAGAGAAATTAAATGCTGTCAGCTTGCTGATGATACAGCTATCTTTTTGAAAGATATATCACAAGTTAGGAAAACTATAGAGTGCCTTAATATATTTTCTGAAGTGTCAGGTTTATTTTTAAACATTAAAAAATGTACCCTTTTCCCACTTAAAGATAATGGTATTCCTTTTACCCAGTTTGAAGGTATTCAGATTAGAGAGGAAGTAACTTATCTTGGTATCAATATTTGCAAAGATCAGTTACAATCTAATTTCCAACCCCTTATGTTGAAAACTAAAAAGAAATTTGATATGTGGCTCATGAGGGATTTATCACTCAAAGCTAGGATTTTTTTGTCCGAGGGATTATCTCGTTTAGTCTATCCTGCTAAAGTATTAGATGTACCAAAATCTTTTCTTTAAAGAATTGATTCAACTCTATTTAATCTCATATGGAAAAACAAGCCTCACTATTTAAATAAAAATAATGTATGTAATTCGTATAATCAAGGAGGTTTGAATGTGCTTGATTTTGTTACGTCTAATACAATTTTCAAGTTGAACTGGATTAAACATTATATTAAACATAAACATGAGATATGGTATATCATTCCAAATCTTATTTTTGAAAAAGTTGGAGGCATAGAGTTTCTTTTGAAGTGTGATTTTGAGGTAAACAAACTCCCCATTAAAGGTGCAATGTGTAATATTTACATCGATCTATTGACAGAAATGCAATATAATGTACATAACTATGTTTTCAGAGGTGTATAAAGACCTTACTTAATGAACCGTTATGTTTTTATTACCTTAGATTGAGCAGTTTATATCTACATACACCGCGGGTCCCCTTACACCGCCGCCATGTTTCTACAGTAGCCCTGAACGGACAAACTGCTCTACACAGCGCGTTCTTGCGAATAAAACACTGACACAATAATTAACAAGTACATTAATATTCGCAATAACATCGATTTATTAAATAATTAAGTAAATACAATTCCTTAATTTACCTTTGTTAAGAAATCTCATTGCTCTCTGCTGTCTTTACCGACGACATCTTAGTCTTGTTTCGGCCACCGTAGCTTCTCTAAAGGGAGGGGTGAGCGGGGGACTGAGCCGTTGGTTGCAATTCGCAAGCTCACCGCTAGATGCCGCTAAGATTTACACACTGCACCTTTAAGTTAGCTAATTTTCATAGACAGGCTCTTTTATATTGGATTCTTATATACAAACATAATTTTTCTCCCCATAGGCATATAATTTGGAATAATAAATATGTTAAATATAAGAACAAATCAATTTTCTATACTAATTTGGGTTAAAAATGGGTATTCTAATGGTCTCACAGTTGATAAATAATGAAGGATATTTACTTACATATACTGAATTTTTAGAGAAATTTGGTATTCCAATACCTCCGCGTGAATATAGTATTGTAATTGATGCAATACCAGCAGGATTTGTGAGGCTTTTAAAGGGATTTAGTGAATCTAAGCAATCAAAATTTAAAAAAGAAATCTTATTAAACGGTATTGATATCAAAGATAGAAAATGTAACAATACATTTTTTAGATGTTTGATTCATTGATCAATTTTTCTGGATTGATGTTGAATATTTATTTACTATGTTGAGTGGATCTAAAATGAATATAAGAAAAAGATATGTTATATTTTATTTTGATAAAAAAGATATGGATAAGTCACATTTTTATGTTAAATCTTCTAATATTATTAGGTAAGTTTTACATACACAAATGTAAATGGTCAGAAAGGAAGCCCAGTATCTCCCACTTCAAAGTTGATTTGAGGATTTATTTTGAAACTCTTCAGGGTCTGTCAAACCGGAAAGCAACCAGAACTATGGACAAGCTCAAAGAACTAAACTCCTCTTTTCTATTGTGATTATTGATGTATACCCTCATTATTTATTATTTTTCTTTCCCTTTTTTTTTTTCTTCAAGAAAACGTGAACACCATGTTTGTAACCTTTTGTTATACTTTTGAATGTTAATTGTTCAGCATATACAATTAATAAAAAATAAGAAAAGGCTATGGTAAGGGAGATGACATTTCCCAACCAGGCGCCGAGTGAAGCCAATCACAACACACACTGGCCCAGCTAGGCCAGCTAACCAATCACAGCACACACTGGCCCAGCTAGCCAATCACAACACACACTGGCCCAGCTAACCAATCACAACACACACTGGCCCAGCTAACCAATCACAACACACACTGGCCCAGCTAACCAATCACAACACACACTGGCCCAGCTAACCAATCACAACACACACTGGCCCAGCTAACCAATCACAACACACACTGGCCCAGCTAACCAATCACAACACACACTGGCCCAGCTAACCAATCACAACACACACTGGCCCAGCTAACCAATCACAACACACACTGGCCCAGCTAACCAATCACA